TCTAGCTACTGGGTTTCCGAGCGATCTCATTACAGCACGAAATATTGCAAAAACGCATGATCGCACAGACCTGCCCGATGCATGTCACCAATGATTTTTTGAAAGGTCCACTTGCTAAAAATGGTGCTCTACTGTTCGTTACGTATCCCCTCCTCGGATCATTACGCATGCTCCAGTTATTTTTACATTTTTGAGACAATTATTTTCACGAACTGTAAAACCTACTTTTAGCTTCTCTCAGTTCTTTTGGCCAAATATCTGCATTCTTTAACTCTATTTCTCATTTTCTTGATTAAGTCGTGTCGCCTTTAGCAGACTTGCTACTTATCCTTCGTCATTAGCCAGTTGTCTTAAATTTCCGCGTGTTCTTATTCGTGCCAAGGATACCGCAACTCCACGCGACAAAAAAAGGACTTTCTTTTAACGGAGGATGCTTATTCGTTGGCAACGAAAGCAGAAATATCGAGGAAATTATAGATTTGAATCTGCTTATTAAAGCGGGATTTCCATTCGTAATTTCTAAAGCTGAAAAATTGAAAATAACTTTCGAATTTGTTTGCATGCAGCACTGTAAACTGCAGGTTCACAGACGCCGAGACAATGCTTGACTTCACGCCGAGGCCAGTGCCCAAGCAAATTTACCTGCCAACTTGCCAAATCCGGCGGCCTGTTCTATTGCTGTCCCGTTTCACCACACGAATGCTCCAATGGACGAAAGGCGTATACTGCGCCCGGCTCGTCATTCCCACAAACATGCAGCATGAATTTCAACAGCTGCCCTCCAGGATACAGGTGTGTTTTTATGATACAATAATTTTATGCCAAAAAATTTATTCTTTCAGATTTATTTGCCAATCATTTTCGACGCAAAAATTTTTACCACAAAAGAAAGGCAAAATGAGAGAGATATCCAGCGTCGCAGAAAGAGCTGTTTTATCAGTTCATGCAGTTATAGCGACCCATGACGAAGAGGTTATGTCCACTACTGTAGTAGCATTTCATTTGTACCGGCAGCATAATCAACAGTTTTCAGCTGTCATCCATCTGCCGATGGCGCTTCAACATTTTGTTGCTTGGATTTAGCAGCAGCGGCTGAATGTCCCGAAGGTGCATCGCCCTATCTCTACGCCAATCGGCCGTTAGCCTGTCCAGCAGGCTCGACGCGTTGTCCGAGCGGTTACTCATGCGTCAGATCTACAGTGTACAGTGTGCACCTCTGTTGCTCAGTTTCATTTTCGCCGATGCCTTTATGCACTGGTGGTATCGCATACATCGATCCAAGTTCGTTTTCAAAGCGCTTTGCATATGTTACTGCTATGTTAATTCTCCCAGTTCATTTAAATTTACAATCGCTCGAATTTTTATTTTATGTAGCAGTAAAATGAAAATTCTTCAATAGCAATGGTGGAAATACGTGCGTGCGTTACATGCCAGCGGCTTTCACTGCAAATTTTCAGGAATAAGACAGCCAAATCCATCCCGCCCGCCTCTTCGAAACTTAGTTTTTGATCTTTTCAGATTTCCAAACACGGAATTGCCGAGCTATAAGCTGCAGTTCTATTAGGCTAATTTCTAACATTCATACTAGACTGATATTTTTAAGATTTAACTCCTCTTATCTGATGAGGATTTCTTGAACTGAGATTCGTTTTCCGATGTGTAAGAGACGGAGCCCATTCCAAAGTTCAAACTGTAAGTCTTAAAGATGAGATTTTGAACATTCTTTAAACAAGCAAACAAAATGAACAAGTGATCGAGCAGTTATTGGAGGACAAGCATATGTATGTTGCTCAAAAATTCTCGAAAGTTATCTTACACAAGACGCGGATGACAAACAAAATCAGAAGTAGTCGGGACAGGGACTGCACACCTTCCTGCACCTATACCTGCAGTAACGAATCGCATACGTTTTTGGCTGGTAAAACAAGATGCGCACTGCTGCTAAATCGTATCGCAAGGCCACTTCTCTGTCAGCACTTATCTCCCGTCAATCTTTCGACTTTCCGAATAGGGTGAGGTGCTAATAGTCAAGAAAGCCACTAATACGTTTGACAACATTTCCAGTGCGAGCTTGCTCTATCCACATAACTTCATGTAGACGTTTAGTTCAGTAATAGAATTGGAAGTAAAAGACTGGTCTAATCGCCTTGTGCAAGAGGCATGTTTGGATGCAGTTTGTGTTTCATCCCTTACCTGTAAGCACAGACCAATTACTGTACGCAAGTGGGAGTAGGAATCAACAGTACAGCTTATTTTCCACTATGTATATGTTGATCATGTGTCAAATAATATAAGAATAGCGCCCCTTTTGCATTTCGCATCTTTTTATCTTTCTGTTGAATAAGTATGGTGACTGTTGTTCCTTCCCTGCCTATTTTCGAAATAGGTGTTAATTGTTATAACTCGAGAGTGAACAAAGCTACGAACTTGGAATTGTGAATTCACATTGCGTCTTGTCAGTCAAGTTTCTCTGCCTAGAAATCCCGTAACCATAAATCGAGTTGTAGTGAGGGAGTACTTGCTTCCTTTCCTCTTCTCGGTGCTTCCACTTATCATCACACTGATATCAGATGTCGGAAAACGTTCTGCAGTTACACTTACAGTAGTAGTTCACGGCAAATAGCACTATATGCAAGGCACTATTATAAAGAAACATGGCGTTATTTCAGTATCCAGTGAGCCACAGTCCTGTTCGCCGTTGATGAATAACTGTCCACCAGGCTACCAGTGTCAAGAGAGCTCAGCAGTGGGCCATTATTTGTGCTGCACCTCCGGTCATCTGAACACACGTTATTCCGGTAAAAAATAACGTATTTTTTATGCATTTCTACATTTGTTGCAGATTAAGGAGTGTGTAACAGCAATATCATTTCTGTGTGTCCTTCTTGCCAATTTAGCTTGGAAGTGGGGGGATCGGAAATCTGGGATTTTGAGGACATAGTTGCGGGAAGTCTGAAAAGTTACTAAATTGAAATCGTCTCATTTTCCCTCTTCTTTCCCTCTTTGTTTTAATTCATAACCGCAAGTCCAAATCCTAACTAATTTTGTTGTTTGACAATGAGAGGACCAGGAGGAAGAGATTGTAGGGTCTTAGTTTAATCACCGTGCCGATAGAAAAAGCAAAAACTTACTGTAAATACTACTGAAAATTAGTGACTGAAATGAATTTAAGGTTATTGTCCGATTGGTCAGATACCGTATGTTCGATATGCAAACGAGGAACCACGAATTTGTCACATGACACTACGGCCATGTCCAGTGACAGCCCAGTACATGTGCATCTATAGTGCCGAGAAACTCAACTCGTACTGCTGCGCACCCATTGATACGGCTGCCACTTCACTGCAGCAGCCATTTTCACCTTTTCGAAATATTCAAAACGGTACGTTCGGTCATTTTGTCCTCCTTTCCACCCATCATCTCCACCCTTCTGCCCTCCAAATGTAGGTCAAAGGATCTACGCCATGTAGCATTAAGTTTATCCGTCGCAACTACAGCTTCTGAGACGAATCTAGTCCAGCACACAGAGAGTAACCTTTTTTTTGCTTGAATTAAACGCAGAAAACAGTTGATTTCGTGGAATGGAAGAAAATATGGAATGAAATTGATACTTTAAAAAAAAAAAAAAATTCAGCCGTACGAGGGACAAGAACTAACACTAGGGGTACACGGGTGGCCATTAATTCATAGTCTGTTTCTGCATCCAAGCATATGTATATTCCCAGTTGCTGTAACCATTGGTACATTGCTCCATGGTCATTTTGCTGCTACCCGTCATGGCGTTCTTTTCGTTTTTTTGAGGGAATAAACGAACTCAGCGGTGTTTCTCTCTGGAGCAAAATTTCGAACATCAAAGCAGAAAAGCCTGTGGGAAGTGCCCAGTTTTGTTTAAGTGCTAGATATAAAATAGGAAAAGTCGCCTTTTACAGTGTCAGGACAGTACTGTTTTTGCCAAAAATTGTTATTTTGTTTGATGGTCACTTCTATGATAAACCTTACTTTTTCCGAAACTTAGTGCGCTGACGGTTCTTTCGCACTGATCAAAACCAAGACTTTTTTTTCCAAACAGGCTTTTTTCTAATTACGCAGTTTTCCAGCAGAGGATGTTTTTGGCTGTCCAGTGGGATCGCGGCCCCTGATGGACCAGTCTAATCGTATTCAAGGCTGCAATCCGGGAATGTGTCCTATGATGTACTCTTGCCACTACAGCACCCAGTATTCGCGGTACCAGTGCTGCTCAAGCATGACAGCCAGTATAAGCATGTCACCTGCAATGGCTGATATTGGAGATGCTTCACAGTGCGATGTTGGATCAGCCAAGATTAAGGGTCGCTGCATGAGATGTAACTGCTTTTAGTCATTGTTTTTATCTTTTAATTTTAGAGTCTTTTTCTTTTCTGCGCCTTAAGACTTTTGAAATTGGCCAAACCTTGCTTATTAACAAACTCTGAAAGAGGGCGCCATCGAAAGTCTTGCTAGCGTGTAGTTGGTTGTCGTCGGATTTGTCACCACCGAGCTGCATTCCGAATCCTGTCGCCTTTCAAAAAAGCTGGGCACGAAAGAGGTTTTGGCTTCTTTCTTTGACTTTTCTGAATTTCTTATTTCTCTTCTACCGTGGAACAGAGCTTTCCATGACAATTTTAGATGTTATGCTCCTTCTCATCACTGGTGCAGCTAACGTTTTCATATTTTTCCCATCAGTAATTCATATTTCCACTGTTCGACAAAAACGTTAAATTTTAAGACCATACCGCAGCTGCCTATTTTTCGAACTGCTGATCCTCTTTTCGATTTAAAGAATAAGAAATGCACCGTACTGATGAGGTCCAGTTGTGGTGCTGATTTGGAATATATGTGACTTAACGGCTAAATTCCAGTTCAGGGTTTCCTTTTCTCATTACTCCTTGCAATCGTTGCCTCTTGCAACTGTATTTGTAATATTAGTTGTAATGACTTTACTACTGTTTAGAGGCTAATTTTACTATTGCTTAATTAGCTACTATAAATTGTCATAATCCAATGCAAAGAGGGGCCCCGACTATGGTTTCCTCCAGGTATTTTGCCATAGCATTGTGATCTTTATGCTACTAGACTCATTCTTTGCAGTGCTATATCTGGGTCAAAAGGGCTGTGAAGAGAATGAGCAATGTTCAATGCGTTTGGCCGAGTCGCGCTGCGAGCGCGGTTATTGCGTTTGTCCACGACACAAGCTAATCCATCAGTCCAAGTGTGTTACGCACTGTCCAGAAGGTCATTTCCTAACTTACATTTGCTCTAGGGATTTTTCTTTCTGTCATAGTCAATCCTTTTTCCGGCGGCTTTTGTCGATTTTAATGTTCAGCGAAATTTTGTTTCAAAAACGAATTTCGGATTCCGTAGTCTCTAGCTCTTCATTACTTTTCTCCTTCTACTTTCCCCTGGTATCATGAAAACGTAACTTACGAGACAAAATTGCCTGTTTCAGGATTCATAGATATAGCGGCGCGTTGTCGTGATCTAACCACCATTGTATTCATGGATTCGGTTGATGAGCGTGCGAATGGTACCATCGGTGGTTTTTGCAAAGGAACAGTTATTGCAGAGGAGCAGTGTGACATCGTAAATTCTTACTGTAACGAGAAATCAGTTACGTGCCAGTGTGAACCTGGCTACGAACTGAGTATTGAATTCAGCAATCCTAACGACACGGTAAGTACCACAGCAAGCAAGCAATCCTAGCGCAATTCGATTGGAAGTGGGGTTTGGAATGCTTCAAGAAAAGGAAAGAATGCCTGAAAAGTTAAATGTTCGCCAAAAGCGTAGCAGCAAGACAACACAGTGATCCTTGCTGACTTTAAGTGTCTTAGCTACCCAAAAGAGCTAAGTAATTCAAGGGAAATTTATCATAACTCCAGAATCTTGTTTTTTGAGTTAAAAGCTTTTGTTCGATGATGAATTGTGCTTCCAGAAACATCGTTCTTGACCGCCGCGAGTGCCTCTGTTTCTTCACTATTTTTTTATGCGTTTTTGCTGTGCAGCGCTATAGCAGCGCTATATAGCGCTGCTACAGCCAGCAAAAACGCATATTGTCGAGAGGCTGTCTGTGTGTGTGTGTGTTCG